CAGCAGCTGGCCCTCAAAGCCGGCCGCCCCACCCAGCCCCAGCAACCAGGACACCGCCCCGGGCGCCGGGGGAGGCCATGAGGGTCCGGCCCGGCTGAGAGTCTGGTCTGCTTTGCCACAAACCCAGGCCGAGCTGCCCCGACACGCCAGGGCACGACTCCAGGGCCCAGGGGCCTCGAGATCAAACTGAAGGACGCAGCAGGGTCCCGAGAGGACCAGCGGCCTGCGGGGCGGCCACCCTCAGGCCCTCTGCTGGGCCCCCCACTGGGGACCTGGGCTCGGCCGGGAGGCCTGCGGGGGGCCCGAGTGAGCTGGAGTGAAGCGGACCCAGCTGCTGCGGGCGGAGCGGGCTGGCGGGGCGAGGGCACCCTCCCAGGCATCTGTGGGGCAGAGGGGCTTGCCCCCCAGACGAGGACACGGGAGGGCCTGGCCAGGACGCTGCGCTGTCCCTGCTGAGGTGACCTTCAGCCCTCCCAGCGCAGTGGACACAGCTCCTGGACAACGGCTGGCCTTGCGGCCTGAGCAGGCTGAGGCTGGCCGCCTGTGGGGAGTGGGGGGCCCCTTGGTTACCGGGCTCGTGCCCTGGGGCTGGCCACCAGCCTCCTGGCCTCCGCCCAGAAGGGTCGGGCTCCCCCAGCAGCGCCGGGCCGCGCAAGAGCCTTGGGCCGCGGCCCTCCTCCCTCCGCGGCCACGGCTGTGGTCATTAGCTGGGGCCCTTCACAGCGGCTGGAGGAAGCCTTGGCTGTAAATGGTCATGCCCCACAGCCCCGGCTGAAAGGCCGAGGGGCGGGCCTGTCCTGAGAACCCAAGACGCCCAGGCCAGGCGAGAGGAAGCCCCACCAGCGTCCTGGCCGCCCCCCCCCTGCCCCTGGGGCCACCCCGCCCTCCACCCCAGCCCCCAGGCGAGAGGAAGCCCCACCAGAGTCCTGGACCCCCTGCCCCCAGGGCCACCCCGCCCTCCACCCCAGCCCCCAGGGGGGCCACCCAGCCCTCCACCCCAGCCCTGCACCCCAGCCCCAGGGGCCTGCCCCTCAGCTCAGCCCTGACCCTGTGATTCTTTCCCTGGGGCTGTGGTTCCACGCACCTGGACTATAATTTTATTTGGGGTTTTGTTCCTACCTGCCCCTCCCGACTGAGGACCCCCCAGAAACCACGCCGGTTCGGGAGCCCCCTCCTGTGTCTCTGAATCTCCGGGACTTGGGGAGACTTGGGGAAAGTGATGGTGCGGGCTGAGCCTGCTCTGATCAGGGGTCCAGGGGCGTCCTCAGGACTTGGCCCTGGACCGGGAGGGGGTTGGGGCGCCCCATCTCCTAGACCTACGTTCTTTCCGGGTGACTGTCCATGGGAGTCTGAGTCAGGGCTGGGGGCTGTAGCCCTGTTATTCTCAGGGAAAGACCGGCACCCCTCCCCCAAAGCCCAGGGCCGAGAGGCAGGTCCGGTGCCACAGCAAATGAGTTCCGTTTGGTGCCGAGTCCAGAAGGAAGCCCGCCCCCACCCTGGGGTCAGCCTCCGGGATCGCCGGCCCAGACAACAAAAGGGGCAGAAATGCTGAGGGAAGGAGGTGCTGGGCCTCCCCACTGGCCTCGGTTGGAGGGGTGGGGGTCGCCTCTGCCCCTGGGAGGCCCCCGCGGCTTTTGGGCCCCTGGCCGGCTCCGATGAGGCTGCCAGGCAGTGCCCGATGGATCCAGGCAAGCCCGGCGCCAGGTGGGGGACCCGAAAGCTCGTGGGGAGCCCCTTGCTGGGCGCTGGGATGTGGGTGCATGGGGCTCCCCTGATGCGCCGGCCTTTCCCAGTGGGGGTGGGGTGGGCGGGTCGGCTCAGGCGGAACCCCAAGCCGGCGGTGGGCGCGGCCCCTCGCCTGGGCGCCCAGCTCCTGCCCTGCGAGCCGCTTGAGAGGAATGTTACGTTTCAAGGGACCCCACCGCACCATTTCCTGCTCATTGTCACCTCTGCTCAGGCTCTCACCCAAGGTAATAAACCGCCTGCTCCCCAGCTCCCCACGCCGCTCTGGGCGGAGGGCGAGGGCGCGTGGGCTCAGCTCTGCCCGGCCGCACCCCCGGACGCCGGCCACCCCGCGCACCCACCTTGTGCAAACACAAAGCCCAAAGCC